GCGTGAATGTCCTCGTCCTCGTCCTCATACGATTCCCCCCCCACCCTTCCACGAACCCCCCCCGAAGGTGGCGGTACATGTGGACAGTGGCTCAGCAGGACCTCCACGACGGCCTGGTGGCGCTGGTAGACAGCTACCAGTCGGACGCCCTGGCGGCGTTTAAGGCGCAGGGGACTCTGCACACGGCGGTGTTCGCCATCGCCTGGGTGCTTTGGGTGCTGTACCTGTGGCTGCTGCTGAAGCCCTACTTGCAGGTGCTGGGGTGGGCGGGTGGTGGGGGTGTGGGGAGGTGCTGGGGTTCTTTCACTTGGACGAGCTCCCATAACAGCAGCAGTGAAGAAGTGGAGTGGGAGAATGGGTGGTGGGGGTGTGGGGGACTGGGGGACTCTGTATGTGTGTAGTTATTACAAACATCTCGCCGGGCCTGACGGCGCTGGCCAGAGGGGCCGCTGCCCAGCTGCTCCAACGAACAGGACCGCCGAGTTAGCACTCGCCTCCTTTTGGGGAACCGGGGGGGTGTGTGAGGGGGGCCGCTGCCCCCTCTCCTGCACGACACAGAGCCTGAACCGCCGGAGACTGTGTAGGGGTATATACACACAGAGGTCTACACGCAGAGGTATAGGTCTACGGAGGAAGGAAAGAAAGGAAATGCCCACAGTCTCAAACGCGGTGCCAGGAGACCGCAACCAGAGAGCGGCCTGTGTGTGTGCTCTGTGTGTGTGTGTGTGTGTGTGTGTGTGTGTGTGTGTGTGTGTGTGTGTGTGTGCCGGCGTGTGTTTTTTTATTAAAAAAACTGAAAAGGGAGAAGACGAAGGTGATGAGGAAGAGAAACGTTGGCGCAAACGAGCAAGTTAAGGGCACCGTGTCCTGTGTGGCGGGGTGGGGTTTTGGTGGGGTTTTGGTGGGGTGAGGTGTTGGTGGGGGGGAAGAGGTGGGTTGTGTGGCTGCGTTGGGGGGGAGTTGAGTGTAGTTACGAAACTAGGTGATGTGCTTTTTCCTCGTCATGGACGCTTTACTGACCTCTGAAATGCAGGTTGTCCCGTGACACGACTCGCCACGAGTATCTGTCTACCCTGCCCACCCCATCGGAACTAACTAACAGACTTTCCGACTAACAGACTTATAAAACTACCATATGTCACTCCCACCCCTTGTGCCATGCGCAGATTTCCAGCACCGAAACCAAGCGTGTGGCTGAGATGCTGTCCCAGCTGCCCCCAGAGCTGGATGTGGAGGGCATGGTGGAGGAGAGCTGGCTGGTGGTGGCGGATACACAGCTAGATCGCAGCGGGGCTGGCGGCGGCGGCGGCGGCGGGCAGGGGCGGCCGGGAGAGGGGGGCAAGGCGCGGGTGAGTGACGGACAGGCGGCACGTGGAATTCTTGGTTGGGGGCCACACGGAGGTGTGGCTAGTGTGGCGTGTGTGAAGGGTGTTTGACCCATGGGTCGGTCGATCGGTCAGTCTCAGTTCGCCGTTTTTTTGATGCTAGAAATTGTTTTCAGTTTTGTGATGAAGTAAAATATAATATATTAATGAAAATTATGAATTTATTACTGCTGAATTCTTTTTCCCCTCCTCGCCAACTCGTTTTCTTTCCTCCCCGCGCGTGTTCGCAGCGCCTGTCCGTGTCCGACATGGCCCTCAGCGTCTTCGCTGCCGTACGCATTGCCTCCGCCAACGCGGCCCGGCGGCTGTCCGCCGCCAGTGTCACCTCGTCAGGCAGGGGCCGCGGGACCCTGCTCAAGGCCTCCGCTGCCGCCGCGGACGGCGGCAGTGGCGGCGCTGGCGGCGGCAGTGGATCTGAGGATGACCCACGGGTCGTCACGGGCCGTGGGAGCAGCCTGGGAAGCGAGGGCGGCCGGAGCCTGCTCAGCGCCAAACTGAAGGCGGCGCTCAAGGGTGTCGATGGCAAGGCCCGGGACCTTGGCGGTGATGAGGATGAAGACGGTGGCGACGGCGACGGCGACGGCGACGGCAAAGCCGCCGTTAAGGGGGGCGGCCGAGGGAGCAGCGGCGGGCTAGCAGATGCGCCGCAGACGTCTGTATTGGACAGCGTCCTCTTCGCTCCGGGTGGTCCGGGTGCAGAGGCAGGTGCTGGTGTGACGCATCGCGCTGCCGGGCGAGGCTCCCAGGTCTCCCCGGCGGATTCTGCATTGGAGGCGTCAAGGCGAGGGAGCACCGGCGGCGGCGGCGGCGGCGGCGTCCCGCGGCCCCAGGACATCAAAACGCCGCCGAGTCGGGGCCCCGCCTCTAGCGGCCGACACAACAACCGTGTCGTACCAACGGTCATCGACAGTCCGTCCGGCCAGTGGGTCGCACCAGAAACCGGCGGCGGCGGCGGCACAGCCGACGCCGTCGCCGATGGCGTCGAGCGAGGGTCGTCCTCGCTGCTGGCCTTCAGCCTACCTTTGCAAACTGTAGCGGAGGCAGGCAATGGCGGTGCCGGCGGTGCCGGCGGCGGCGGCGGCGATGGTCACGGTGCCGGCGGCGGCGGTAGCCGAGCCGTCAGCCCTTACCACTTTAACAAAGTTATCGCTATTCGTAACAACAACACGCGGTATTGGTCTGAGGAGATGCCCTGGCGACCGGGGCACGGCCCAGGGTCAGCGGCTCGGCGGCGATCCGCGGAGGGACGAGGTGACAATGACGCGGATCCGTCGGCGGCGCCGCCGCGCAGCGGTAGCGGCAGCGGCAGCGGTCGCTTCGCCATGGCGTCGCCGGTGGTGGCGGCGGTGGTGGCGGCGGCGGCGGGATCGGCGGCGGTTGACGGCCAGACGCCGCTACCCGGGGAGGTGGACGACCCGCAGGTGACGGCGGCACGCGTGGGCAGCGCCAGTAGCTTGGTAAGCAATAGCCCCAGCGGGCGAATCCATCGCACGCCCCCGTCGACGCCGCCGCCACCACCTCTGCTAGCGGCGCGCGAGAGCGGCAGTGGCGGCCTGGTTCGGGATTCGCTGGCCGCTGGTAGCGGCAGCAGCAGCAGTCGGCCGCCGTCGGCGCTGGTGATAACAACGTTGGCGGCGGCGGGTGGGTCAGGGGGGGAGGCAGAGTCGCTGCGTGTGAGGACACCAGCGTCGCCGTCGGGCGCGATGGCGGCGGCGGCGGGTTCGCGGGTTAGCACGCCGACGCCCATGTCACCCTCGTCCCCTGCACGGACGCCGACGGCGGCGATTGCACCTCGACACTCGTGGATGGGGACGACTGTTGGCGGCAGTGGCGGCGGCGGCGGCGGTATCTCTGGGCCGGCGCCACAGTCCCCTGACCTCCGACGCATCAGTGTTGACGCAGGCGGCCGGCCATTGAGCCGGCTCGCAGTCTCCGCAGCTAACATTGACCTCCCGCCGCCTCCTACCTTCAGCCGTACTGGCAGCGACAGCCACGGAGCCGCCGGAGCCGGCGCAGCTGTGGCGACTTTATCCTCGCCCCTGTCCAAGTTGGCGAGCTTGAATGCCGCCGTCGCTGCTGCTGCTGCTGCCGCTGCTGCTAGTTATGAGACCACGGGCAGTAGCACCCTCCCGGCCGCCGCCGCCGCCGCCGCCGCCCCGCCGCGGATCTGGTCGGCCAGCGGCGCTGACGGAGGCGTCGGAGGCGCTGACCGCCGCAGCCGGCGGCCGTCCTCCAGTACCGTCCTGGCGGAGCCGGAGGCGCCTGTGCCGACGGGGGTCATCGGCGGCGGTGAAGGTGCGGCGGCGGCGGCGGCGGCGGCAGGAAGCGAGGCGGCGGAACCTGCTGCCGAGGTCGACGGAGCGACGCCAGCGGAGGTTCAGGAGGAGGCGCGTCCAGAGACGGCTGGTGGCCGCAGCGCCGACGCCGACGCCGGCGCCGGCGCCACGGCCGCGGCGGCGCCGCCACCGGTTCTACCTAGAAGTGCACTTCAGTCGCCGCAGGAACGTCGTTTAAGTTCAGCTGACAAGGCGGGTTCGCCGTTGCTAGCGGCGCAGGGGCCGCCGTCCTGAGGCTTTTGATGTGTTTTGTGTCGAGCTGCAATTTGTAGCAGCAGTACAGTAAATCTGTATTTGGAACTGTCGTGTGCCTGAGCTACGCGCCATCGCGCATCTTCCTGTCGGATGACTGTGTGTGTGTGTATGTGTGTGCATGTATGCGTTCATGTGGAGATATACGCTCTCGGTGTGTGTACGGTTTACGGGTGCGCTGCTACTAAAACCCGTTGTTCTCTCCCCTCCCCCCCCCGGGGCCCCCCACACACGCCGGGCGGGGGGAAAGGAGCCCTCGGAAGCGCTTATTTGCGCTCGTTGGGCCTCGTGCCGTTTTTTATTTATGCTGATATCGCAGCAACAGCCCCAACCCCAACCCCGACCCCAACCCCAATGACAACAATGTGTGCATGAAATTACGACACGCGACGCGACATGCGCATTTGAACTGTGCGTGAACGGATGCTTGTCGGGTACCGTGGTGGTGCGGTTGTGAGGTAGGATGGCCCGCTGTGTGTGTGTGGGGGGGGTATGAGGTATGGGTTAACCAGGGCATGGCTAGGGCTCGGCTTTCCGTACGACGTACTGTCAGCTGCTTTGGTTTGTGATGTGTGGCTCCTCTCCCCGGGCCTGTGTTTGTGTTTCCCCTCCACCTGTTGGTGTTGCTACGCACGTACTGGGCTTCCAGGTGCCGTCACACGCCACATGGAGGTCCGCATTTCTTCAATCCCACATTTCTAGGTTCACAGCATGTGTACGGAAGAACTACACGGTAGTTGGTTCGTTACATATACTTAACGGTCACACGAACGGTATCACAGAGGGTACGACTCTCCCCCTTGGGTCTCAGTCAGTATTGCGGCCCCTCGGGCGGGATGGCGGCCCGTTCTCAGAACTCTTGTCCTCTCGGTGGCCAGCGAGTGTTTTCCCCCACCCGCTTAGCTCGTCGTACACACATATGGAACTCGAGGGAGGGTGTGCTCTCCGCAGCTCTGCAGGGGCTGAGGGCCGCCACCCGAGCGACCGCAATTGCTGATGCATCTTACCTTTCGTAACTCACTACTACTATAGAGGAATTTTAGTCCTGCCTTCGAGTTTAGTATTGTATGTTAGTTTTGTTACTCTTGTTATGCCACGTGGCAGTGGCTGCCTATTTCCGTACGTGCACGGGGGGGAGGAGAAATGCGCAATGTCCCAGTTGCTGCCGGAGCTGGAGGCTGTGTTTTAAATCATAAGATACACATACATACACACATACACACACACACGCGGTCCCCCTCCACGCGCTCAACAACGGGTTCCCCCCAATGCCATTCGCCTATCCCTGTTGCTACTGCTTCTGCTTCTGATGCTGCTGCTGCTGCTGCTGCAAGCCCATATATGCGTTTTTTTGCTTTTCGTGTGTTGTTATGTGGCCATTGCCATAGCGGATAATGTACTTCCAGTGCTATCACGGCAATGAGCCCTGCCCTGCTCTGCTTTTCCTCCCACACCTCCGCCACCCGATAGGCCCTTTCCGAATGCGCAACATATCAATGTGTGTTCAGGGTTTCCGTATATATGTATGTATGTATGTATGTATATATGCATGCGTGCTTTGGGGAATGACAGACGCAACTTTTTAGAACTTTTTTATTTTCACGTGTCGGTGGAGCGATCTTGACTCGTCGGTTGATGTACGGAGCGTTTGTACGGAGCTCTCCCGCGTTTATCTCCGTTCATATCCAGTTTCCCGCGCATACGCAAAGTGGCTCATACACACCATCAGGTTGCCATTGTTGGCATTGTTGGCATCAATCATCAAGGCAGTGACAATCAGTCCCCCTTTCCCAGTCCTGGTGACGCAAAGGCGCCAGCGCCATCCTGTGTGGCGTTACGGCGTACGGCACCACGCGCGTCTTGGTGATTGGCGCCTCCTGCTTTCCAAGGCCGGCAGCGCACACAATCCACACGCGGGGCTCGCTTTGTTGAGCTCTTTCCTGCTTACCAGCTATTGGTAGGTTGCAGTAGGTTGCGGTCAGGTGCTCGATCAGGTGCTGTATCCGTCTGCTGTCCTGTATAACTGCGGTGTCTTAGTCGAACTTGGAGTAGCAATTGCCTTCAGCTGAGGCTGTATGGGTGTGCAGTAGAGTGGATGGGTGGCGGTGGTGGTTTGGCGACGGGAGAGCGGATGGGTGGCCGTCTGGGGTTGGCCTTTGCTCAACTGAAGCGAGTTGTCGAGTTGAGAGTGTTGGATCCCGCCCGGGTCAATCGGAACCCCGGATCTCCCTCCTCGGATACCCTCACCCTCACCCTCACCCACCCACCCACCCGCGCCTCTGTGCTCACCTAATAATTATGAATCGAACTTGCTGCTAAAAGAGAACTAAATTGCTGTGATGGACTGTACATAATATGCATAAAGTCTCATATCTGCTTCGAAGGGCAAATGTCGCGTGTCTGAGTGTGTGTTTGGTGGGCGGGGTGTTGCGCCAACAGCGCCGAGGCGGCCCGTCGTCTGCCCGCCTGCTCGCCCAAATGAGTGAGTGAGTGAGTGCGGAGATGGAGGTGAAGATGGAGATGGAGGAGAGCGCCCAATAACTGGTCATACACAGCCGAGGGCGTACGCTGTGTGTGATGAGCTCCCTGATGAGCTACTACCCTTCCATCCTTCGATCGGGGGGAAAGTGGGATCGAGACTGAAGGTGAACGGCGTTGACCGGAGTTTCTGTCTTTTGAGGTCGTCCGCGGTGGTAGTGTACCTGTCCGGGTCTACCACGTGGCGGCCTCCGGGCTGCGGAGGGAGCGCGAGTGCGGCCACGCGATGGTGGCTTAGTGGCCCCTCAATGGAAAGCGACGGGGCTCCGAAAGCAGCGAATGGCAGCGTCCGCTGCGCATTGCCGCGGCACGACGTGCAAATTACAAAGGTGTCCGTGTTTGTTGGGGGCGGTTCTGCGCATATCGGAATCACCAATGTCGTGCCGGTACACGTACTGACCTGATGAAAAGCATCCTTCTCTTCCCGAGTTGTGTGCGCAGGTGCGGTGGGTTGGGGTGACGTGGTGGCTTTTGGGGAACCGGTTTGCCCTTTCACCGTGTTGTTTCTTATCTCCAGATCATCATTTGCCTTCCTATTAAACGCTTGCTCAGCTTGGCTGCGGATGGGATTTGTGTTTTTGGTAAGAAGGTGCCGCCCGGGATGTGATGGTCAGTTACTTCGAGTACGCTCAGGGAACGAGCGTATATGTGCATCTGTATGTGCATCTGTATGTGCATCTGTATGTGTGGCGGTTTGAAATGCACGAACATTCTCGCGACCACCGTTGACAAGAACGAACGGCTGTGACGGTGATGACGATGGTTGGTAGCGGATTTTGATCAATGGACAGATTATTAAACAGACTGTATGTCGTTGACGTTTTGTAACGGTGGAAAGCCCGCGTGTTTTTCCCTTACAAGTTTTTCAACTCCTGATCTTTCTTCAGCTTTTTTTCTCCTATTTAAACGCGTCGGCAGTGACGCTCGGCAGGAAAGCGGTAGAGGCAGGGCAACTTTGAAGGCATCGCAATCGCAATCTTCTTCGTGTTGACGACTTCCCGAACACATATTGCGATCCCCGAAGGGAACAACAACCCGTAGTAGTAGTAGTAGTCGATTCATCACAAGCAAGGCTTCTCAAGCTTTCATGATGACGAACAATACTGCGGCGATGGTCAACAACCATCCTGGATCCAATGGCAGAACCGGCCCCCTTTTCCGGGCCCCCTCTGCCCTCAACAATGCTGGCTAGATGCGCCATGTACGTGAATGTGATCCTCTTTCCTTACCATGCACAATAGCAACGTCCATTCATTTCATGTGCTGCACAAACCCTTTGCGCCGCAAAATCACATGAAGCGCCTCTAATACTTGAAGTCAAGAGTATGGACTGGATTGGCACGACTGCAGGAGCTCCATGCCCGCAAGTCCATAACCGAAGAGAGTTAGCTCATCTTCGGTTGTTTCCTCGCCAGGTATCGCTCCCTAGCAGACAGGACCGCTGCCTCGTCGTTGCGCCGTTTCCCGCCGATCACCACTTCTGACCCCATCGCCGACGATCCTCCTGCTGCTGCCGCCGCCACCGCCGCCGCCGCAAGGTCTGCAGCGCCCACTGGCTGCGGCGGCGGCAGCAGCACGCCGCCACCGCCGGAGCTGCTTGGCGGCAGTGCGTCGCCTCCGCCTCTGCGTCGAACCGCCGCCTGCGCCGCCGCCGCGGCCTCGTCACCTTCCGAAGCACCCGGCGGCCGCCGCTGCTGGTCCGCTGCCAACTTCCCTCCCTCCTCCACTCCGCGAGACCCGGGGCCCTCTGATCCCCGCGTCCGCTCCTCGTTCTGCCCTTCACCCAATTCCGCCTTTTCCTTTTCCTTCTGCTGCTGCTGCTGCTGAGCGAGTTTTCGCCCGATGAGGGCCTTCTCTGCTTCCAATCGCAGCCGGTCGTATCGATCGAGCTGCGATAGGACTTTGGCTTGGGAGCTCCCTGCGGGGTGGTGGATGCGGTGGTGGTGGGGAAACGTAGGAGGGCGGGAGGCATGATGAACACAATAAGTTCCTCAGCGCCAACTACCCCCCGACAGAGACACCACGGTCCAACCCCCCTCTATGCCACTCGTGGAAGCTCCCCACTCCCCCATCCTCCCCTTCACTCGCACCCGCTGCCGCCTCGTTCCTGGAAGCGGCCGCCACAGTATCGTCTCCGCCGCCGCCGCCCTCGCTGTCGCTTCCCCCCACCGGTGCTGGCGCCACCCTGCCTTCGCTTCCGCCTCTCCCTTCTGCGCCGGCAGCTCCTCCTCCTCCTCCTCCTCCTCCTGCTGCGGCCGCCGCCTCCTCCTCCGCCTTTTCCTCCTCATTCTCGTCCCGGTCGGCTGGATGGTTCGACTTTGCGGTGCCGTACGCCACGTTTTTTGTGAGGAGGTTGGCGTAGAAGTTGCCCATGTGGCCTACCTTCCGTACATCATTGCGCTGCTCCTCGAGCTCCCTGATGACGTGGCATGGGACGACAGGACATGGCGTCGAAAGGATATGGCGTGGCGTGGCATTGCGTGGCGGAATGACGGAGCGTGTGATGTGCGAACATGGAAAGCGGTAGTGGTATGTGTTGTGAAGTGACATGGCCACGGGGGGGTTTTGCGAGCTGCGCCCGGCAGGGCAATAGCGTGACATCAGGATGCGACAGCAGGATCAGAAACCGGAACCGACTAACGCCAAAGCATTGCCAGAGCCATCTAATAAAGGACAATAATATTGTTGTTTCATTCGACTAACTGCTACGCTGCTAAGCCCTCACTATTTTTAGCATGACAAACATCCAGCAACCAACCAACCAACCAACCAACCAACCCGCCAACCAAAAAATCAACCCTTATCAAGTTTTAAATTCGCCCATCACCCCATTACTTTTGGCGTTCCGCCTCGAGCCACTTCTTGTCCTCCTCGAGCTTCTTGCGGTAGGCGCTGGTGACGAAACGCTCCTTGTCCTCAAATAAATGGTCCTCCTGCTGACGCTCCTTTACCATGCGCCGCTCGTACAACACGTCCTGCAGAGTGCAGTACAGAAACGCCGTACAGAAATACCACGTCACGTGACACACGACGTGTATAAATATACATATGCAACTACATACCTCAAAAAGCATTTCCCACCCTCGACTATGCTTCTCCTCGAGCCCCAGGCTCCATACGTACATTAGATATATCTATGTGCTCCTCCATGTTGCTTTTCTACCTGTCACCAGCCCCTGCTCCTCACGAATCGCCCCCCCTGGCGAGTAAGTTAGAAATGTTGTGTTTATGTGTGTGTTTGTGTTTGTGTGTGTGTTTGTGTGTGTTTGTGTGTGTTTGTGTGTGTTTGTGTGTGTTTGTGTGTGTTTGCGTGTGTTTGTGTGTGTTTGTGTGTGTTTGTGTGTGTTTGCGTGTGTTTGTGTGTGTTTGTGTGTGTTTGCGTGTGTTTGTGTGTGTTTGTGTTTGTGTGTGTGTTTTATAACTTCCTGAGTTGCGTTACCACCCAGAGGAGTGTAACCTTCGGGGGCCCATACCCATACGTACCCGGGGCCCGGAGGGACGGCGCAACAGGGCTGGAATTTGTCCAAATAAGGCTCCAAGAGATATTTGTTTACATACACATATATATACATATATACATATATATAGATAGATTTGTTTATACATACAGATATACATACAAGGAGATTAGCACAGGGCCACACCTGCTCGCGCTTGCGCTGCTGCGCCTGCTCCAGCAGCGATGCAATGTACTTGCTCTGCCGCTGTACCTTGTCCTGTTGCTTGCTGGTCACGCGGGCTTCCTGAATGCTGTCGTACACGCCGTCGTAGTCAAAAACCGACGGATCCTCTGCCAGTGCTTCCTCGTAAACTTGCTGTACCTGCAAAGGGAAACGTTTTCCGTGTTCAAATAAGTCATTTTCGCCATGTGAATGGGAGGAGCTGTCTGCAGGGGCTATCGCCACCGCGGGGTGAGAATTTAGGCAGAGGGGGTGCAGGGGGTGGCACTTAACGAGACGCCACGGTTGGGAGACCGGGCCGGAGAGCAATTGGGAAGGTTCATCCTTGACCCTTAACAGAGCCAGGATGCGGGTGATTCAGTAAGGGGATTTTTCTTGTCACGCGTATGACGGTTCCTTGCTTTCGCATGGGGCAAAGGCTCGTTGGCCCACGGAGCGGTCCCCAGGCCCACCGCACGAACCTTGGCTGCTGCGCGCTTCTTATCAGCCTGGCGAGCGATTTGGCGCTCCACATCCTCTTCGTCCGAGTCGTCGTCGCCAAACACGTTTGCTGGCGCGACCTTGCGCTGCGAAGATGCTGAAGCTTGGAGGCCGGGCTTTTTTGGCACAACCTTTTGTAACCCATACTGAACTCCTTTTTGACCAATAATCATACTAGACGTTTGCTTGCTCATCCTGCCGGTCACTCAGTCAGGCAAGGGAATCGTGTTTCGTGGAAAACTGGAGGTGCATGAAGTTAGTTTTCCTTGTGTTTTAGAGACAACAGTAAAGTATATTTTGGTAAAATATTTACAGCTTTGTATCTTGCAATCGCCTTCCTATTATGGAAGTCCTCTTTGTTCATGCCTCCTGTACAGGGTAACTGCATCTGTGTTTTCCGGAACAAGTAATAGGTAATATGCAAATTCCTATGGCATAGAATTGCGGTAGTTTGGCTTTAAGAAGCTGGGGTGTGCAGCCCACGCCCCCGCAGTGCTGTTGACCGGTGAATCATGAAGGCCGCTACTGGCACCGTGGAAATGCAGAATCTTGTCTTCTCTAGATGGATAGAGGTAATGGAGAGCGACACGACCATTGACTGCCTGGCTGTCGGCCATGGCGGTCGATTTGGTTTGCCCTGAAATAATGTAATATTGGATTATTGTTATTCCCCTTCAGGTCAAGCACAAGGCGGAACCTCACAATTACATCGAGTATTTCCTTGTCACAGACACGGGAAATGAGATTCTGGCTATTAGCGCGGAGGACCACGGCAACTCACACTACGTGTACCAGTCCACGGGGCCATTTACGAAGTATGGAATGCTCAATAGCAAAAACAAGGCGGATACCATAAGCTGGTGAGCATTCGCACCTGCCCTAAGAACGGGTGGGAGGTTGAGGGGCGGGGTGGTACTTGGGGCCCCGCAATGTCGATGCTTCACATGAACACCTCCTTCCTACCGCCGAACGTCCACGTAGACACCCCAAGTAGACACACTCATTCGGGGTCCCGTCTCGGCGCAACAAACCAGATGCAATGGCGAAAGGGTCTAAACATGCGAAAACGACAGCAGCAGACTCAGCATACACGGTACACAGCGAGGCGAGGCGATATCTGCACCCAAATCAACCTCCCCCTCGGCACATAAATCATTACACAGTGTATATAACCCATCACACATCGAGGTTGGCCATACTTAGCGCTTCTCTGCGGCTTTGAAGTCACTACACCTCTCACCTCACGTACCCCACACTCGCACTCCCGGTGCTGCGGCCTTCCAACCCTCCCAGGCTGGAAAAGATCATCAAGGAGTCTCAAATTAAAGTGGACAGCCAGCTAGCGGCCGAAGTGGCCCATGCTGGGGAGCCCACCCCAGACAACCCACTGGGGCTGTACTACATACAGCACAAGTAAGGCCCATCCCGCCATCTCGTCTCTCTAATGCTCAGGGGGCCCACCAGCGCACCTGAGTGGCTCTGTGTGAGCCACCTGGAACTGGGTTTCCTGGACTGGAGAGCCGGGGTCCGTAACCCAGATGCCAAAAGGGCGGGGCCGGGAAGAGGGGACTGTCCGAATACTCTCGACTAAGGAAAGAATGCTTGGAAAGGTTGTAAGTCGTGAACGGTGAACCGAGCTGCTTATAAAAGACGTATCATGGCATTGTTCTTAGGGTTTTTCCACGGCGGGGGAGGCCGCGGCGTTCAATCAAATCGGGCGATCCGGGGTGATGTGGGTCACTGGGAATGCGGCTGAGTCCACGGTCGCGGTTCTTCCGGAGTCGCGTCCGTCAGGGAGTCCGGGTTAAGGGGGAGGTTGCCGTGCACCCCCAACGAGCTAACTGCAAACCACCAACCGGTAAAACCGTGCAGAGTGGAGAAGGTTATGAACCCCGACGGCACGCACACGCAGCGCTTCTTCCTTCTTGACCAGTACGGCACGTGGCATTTGGCGGTTGTCGGGGAGGAACGGGAGACGCGCGACGGGCACTACGTCTACAGAGCGGTGAGTATGCGGGTGGGGGCCCCGGGCAGCGATACGGGCCGCGATCGCCCGCCCTAGCTGCAGTCGTCCCCCGCTGGGCCGTCGACTCCGACTGATGTTTTTCTTTCAAACTCACATCTCGCAATGTTATCGCAGCTCCTCTTAGCTGTCCTCCACAACTCCTGTCTTTTTTGTAGGGTTTACTCCTTTCTGTTGTCGTCCTTGCTTGCTTTTTTCGCCTCGGCGGAGTTTTTCCCTCGCTCGCGATCATGCGCGTGCTCTCCCCTTCCCTTCCCCCTTGCCTAACGCCATAACCCTGAACACTCCGCAAGCCCGCCTCCTTCTCAAAACTTTTCCCACGCGCGGCGAGCCCTCCTCGTGTGCCCCTCCTCGCCCTCCTCTCGTCCCTCGGGGCTCCTGCAGACCGAGGAGTTCTCCACACGCTACCCCCTGTCCTGCCACGCACAAAAGGACGTGATCCATTGGCTGGAACAGCGAGTGACGCACAACCTGCCGCCGTCGCATTCGGGGGCCGCGGCGCAGGCTCGCAAGCTTGACGGTTCCGGCAGTAGCTGCACGTCCGCCGGCGTAAACGCTGCGGGGCCAGCTACGTCGGGTGTAGTGGCGGGAGCGCCAAGCAGTGTCGGAGGCGGCGGCTCGGCGGAGGCCTGGGGAACGTCAGGGTTCGCGACGGCCGCCCCCGACGCCACGCCCATGTCGGGGTTGGAGGCCGGGCCGAACGGTGACGGCACCGCGGGGTCGTTGATGCCGCAGCCGGGGGAGTTCCCCATGCCTGTGCTGTTGCCGCAGCAGCAACCGGTGGGGCCAGAAGGGCCAGGAATGCCCTACGCAAACCATCATCAACACGACCCAGCTCCGCTGCCACAACAGCAGCAGAAGTCGCAGTCCCAGCACCAGCACCATCTGATGGTGGGTCTGCCAGCGCCATCAGGGCCTCCGTCTGAAAACGCAGATGCGGACCCCACCGCGTCTGGCCTTCGTCACCCCACTCCACAGCACCAGTCGTCCATTTCCGCAGCGTGCCTTGGGGATATGCAGGCGGGCGGGGTGGCCGGGGGTAGCGATACTGCGGAGCGCCAACCGCCGCCGGAGCCAGCGGCGGCGGAGACTGTGCAGCCTGTTGCTGTCGGCACACCACCACCACCGCTGCCACCGCCCTCGCCGTTGTTGCTCCCTCAGGGCGGTGGGTTCCCTTCCAACCACACCGGCGCGCTGCCTGAGCCCGGGGACCAGCACCAGCCTGTGGGCCAGCCTCCCACTTTGTCAACGCTACCGCTCCAGCAGCAGCAACATGAGGTAAGGCGACTCCCGCTTTATAGAGAGAGCCGTGCGAACAACCGCATGGGTGCAAACACTTGCACCCATGCGGCTTCGGAAGGGCGAGAGCGGCAACCTCGGACTAAAAATATTTTTACCATGGCGGGATTCTTTTTTCTTTTTATAGAGTGGAGCAACAGGGTGGCGGGTTGAGTTGTTGCCAAAACGCGCGAGAGTGCTGGGCGTGCGGTGCTCGTGTTGCAGGACAGGGACGGCGCGCATGCGCCTTGGGGCAAGCAACGATCGAGAAAAATGCGGTGGGGCGTCTGCCTGTTTGTACATGTGTGCGTGTGCTTGTTACACCTTCTGGAGTTGTGTTGCCCTTACATACATACATAAATACGTACGAGCCATGAGGGGGCATAAGGACCCGACAAGGCTGACCGAAATAGCATTTTAGCCTTTGTGAGCGAATGTTCGCCGTGTTTTCTCCTTGTGCGGCACTTTCTTTCCTGTGCAGGCCGCCGCGCAGCCGCAGCAGCAGCAACAGCAAGGACTACGCGTCCCTTCGCCGCCGCCGCAGCAGCAGCAGCAGCAGCCTGCGTTACCAGGCATTCCATTACTTCAGCAGCAGCCCCAACCGCGGCAAGGGGCCCCGGGCTGCCAGCCTGCCCTGCCTGCGGAGCCGCAGGGATTGGTACAACTGCTGGCAGGGCTTGCGGCATCAATGCCCGGTGCTGGAGGCGGCGGCAGCGGCAGTGGCAGCGGCAGTAGCACACAGGCACAGCTGGTGAGCAACGGCCCGACGCTGCAGCTACAGCTGCCTCTGCCGCCACAGCTACAGCTCCAAGGGTCCAGCATGCCGCAGCTGACCTTGCCGCTGTATCAGCAGCTACCGCAGCAGCAGCAGGGCTTGCCGCAGCTACAGCAATTGCAGCCTTTGCAACACCCATCACTTCAGCAGTTTATGGTACCGAGCCTGTTCCAGCAGCCGCCGCAACAGCAGGCGCTACAGCAGCAGCAGCAGCAACAACAACAACAACCAACGCTACAACATCAACATCAACAGCTCCAACTTCCGTCGCTTGACCCACATATGCAGTTGCAGCAGCAGCACCTTCAGATGTTGCAGCAGCAGCTGCAGCAGCGGCAACAGGAACTACAACAGCTGCTACAAAGCAACCCAGCTATGCTGGCACTTGGCAATTCTGCAGGGCCGCTGCAGCAGCAGCAACAGCAACAAGAACACCATGCTCTGCTACAGCCTACCGGATTACTAAACACCACGGGACAGCAGCTGCAACAACAGCAGCAGGTACTGCTTCCCGGCGGGCTGTTGCAGGTGCCCAACAACACAGCCCTCAACGCCTTGCCAGGGCCCGCAGCTCCCGGGTCCCAGTCAAGGAGTCTCCTCGGTACCGTCGGTGGCGGCAGTGGCGGCGGCGCCGCGCCGTCACAGCACCCCCCGGCGGATCCGGCTGCGCTTGCTTCCGCATCAAGTCAGGCAGGTGTTAATCTTTTTGGCTTGCAGGATCTGATTCAGCCGCCACAAAAGATGGGGTCTGCGGCGGCGGTTCCGGGGTTATCTGGTATGACGAAGGATGCATTGAGTCCCGCAGCGGCGACTTCCTCTGCGCTAAGCCAGCCACCATTCGCCCAGCTGGGTGCACCGGCAAGGGCACCCCAGGGCGCCAGCGCCGGGCTTAGCCGAACGGCTGGGACAGCCGCAGCTGCAGCTGCAGGCGGCGGCGTCGGCGGTGGCAGGGCCACAATAGGAATCACCGGAATCCAGGGACCAGAGCAGGCTGCCAGTGGAGGCGGGGCCGGCAGTGGGATCAGTCTCGGCTGGGGCCTCGGTTGGCCTCCAGGATTAGCAGGACCTATGTCCGCCCGCACAAGTCCTTCCTCTTTCGATGACCTGCTCGCCCCGCACCTTCGCCCGCACATGCAGCTGCTGCAACACCAACCATCGCCGGCACAGCCGCTGGTGCAGGTAGGAGGCGCTGGGGGCGTGCCGGGAGCGCTTCAGGGCGGCACCGCTGCCGGCGGCGGTGGCGGAGGGTACGGCGCAGCTGATACGCTAGCCGGCGGCGCCCCGAGTCCAGTGGCGGCGTCCGCAGCAGTCAACGGCGCGCTGCCGTCGCCGTCGACAATGGGCTTTGTTGGGAGCATGGGTGCGGGAACACCGCCACCTGGCGCTGGGATAGCCGCGGCTGCTACGGGGCTGCCGACAGCGTTGGCGGCCGGGACGGCGGCATTTCCCGGGTCGCAGGTGCCGCAACAGCCGCCGCCACATTCTTTCCAGGCTGCTACTGCTATTGCTGCCTCAGGTGGCCTTCCCATAGCTCCAGGGAGCGCGTCATTGCCCAGTGACAAGACTGGCAAGGAGGCGGGCCCGTGTCCGGGGACTGAGCCGGGCTCAGCATACCTCGGCGGTGGCGGCCGCGGCGGCGGTGGCGGTGGCGGTGGCCGCGGCTCTAGCGGCAAGCACAAGTGAGTCGTTCCCTCGAGGCGGACTACTTTTTATGTCCCCAACCTAGCTTTAGCCGCGGCGCTAAGGAGGCGCTTGGGCCTCTGCTGACTCGCATGGGTGTACTCGTTACACCTCTCTATCTGGGTAACCCAACCGGGTTGCAACACACACACACACACAACACACACGCTCCCTTTATAGTCTCATCTGGAGTGTTGACATATTGGTTGATACTGCGGTTGAGGTTATTGAGGTTTTTTACCCTTAGGCCGAGAGAGAGGTGGCATACTGTGTGGTGGCCTAGGGGGGAATGGCCGAGGAATTTCGCTTCTCAGAGGAGAGTCGGGTTGGGCAGATCGGGGTGGGGTAGACCGATGAGGAGAGCTGAACCATGCTTGGATGCATTCAGCTGGGTGAGCTGTGTGGTGTGATGGGGGATAGCCGGTGGGGTGTGTGGGGTGCGCTGCTGCTGGGTGGGTGCCTCTGCTGCTCCTGCTAATTGCGTTCGAGGAGGGCGTGTGAGAGGATGATGCAACAAGGCCCCCAAGGGCGACGTTCGTCGAGGGGGAGTTCTTCGGCTTCGTCATCCGGGGGCCCCGTGGGCGTGCGTGCGGCGTTTTGGTCAGCCCGTCTTGCCTCATGTCATGTCGTGTAACCAGGGGGGTAGCCAGGGGCCATGTAACTTGTGATGCCATGTCATGCAACGGGTTTTCTTCCGCATCATGCCGGTCTTGTCCGAACAAATGGCGGTGGCGCCGCCCATAGTCTCGCAAGCCGATAGCACGCGCACGAAGTTCTTATCGCGCATCATCTTCTTCATCTGCACGGACGAGACGGGTGGGATGGCATGTACACGTATGGGATGTGGTGATAAGGCCCATACAAGACTCCTGTGCTCCTTGTGATATTTGAGTGTGCGTGAGGGATTTAGGTGATATGTGGGATGAGTGAGATGGCATGGCATGGCATGGCATCATGTCACGTCAGGATTGTTGCGCTGCGTGCAGGTTGGCGGGTGTGGCGGAGGTGGCCCACAAACGTAAGCTAGCGCGACTGGCGGCTGCTGGAGAGGAGGCTGTGCGACTGGCTCAGGGCGCGTACCTCGCTGCCCTGCGGCATCAGGCGCTGTCAGAGGCGGCGCAGCAGGAGGCTCTGCGGAAGACTATTGCCAGCTGGGTCCGCGGGCAGGTGCGTGGGTGCGGGTGCTCGCTTTTGAATTCCATTTGGCGCCACCCACGACGTTTGGCGACAAAACTGAAAGCGACTTTTCCTCTGTTTTACTTCTTGAGTATAGTAATAACAACTTTCATTTTGTCTTTTCCCCTAAAAACATTTTTGTTTCTGTTAGCTCTACATTCTAATAGCTCAAATTTCAGCTATACGTTACGGTTGTGGATTAGGAAAATTCGTAAGTTGTATTTGGTTGGGGGATGGAAGTTTGAGGTTGGTTAGTTGAGGACGGGCAGATGCGGAGAGGAGGAGGGGGAAGGGGAGGGAGGGAGAGGGCGCACGACGCTTGGTATGGTATTGGCCTTGGGGGATGGTGATGTCAGCGGAATGGATGTCGCCAGAGCCGCTATGAGAACATCCTCTCCCTCCCTCCTCGTTTTGGGTTTATGCGCGCACGATGTCGTACCGTGTCCGTACCGTGCCGCAGATTTCTGACGATGAGGTCAGCGTTAACGGCTGGCACGAGACATTGGAGCAATTGCTGCGCGACGCCAACCGCACACGCTCCGTGACCGTGCCGTTCCTCTCCAACGAGCGCCTGTTGGAAGTCAGCCGCGGCTCCGTAGAGGCCATAACCCTGGCGGCGGCAGTGTCGCTGACGGCGCCGTACGATCCCGCCGCTACACCTTGCGTCCCGCCGCCACCACCGGTACTACTCCCGCCGCCGCCGCCGCCGCTGCCTCCTTTTCCGGCTCCACCACCGACCTCGCAGCCGGCGGTTGCAGCAGCAACCCCGGCTCCCGCACCAGCCCCATTGGCGGTGACTGCCCCGACCTGCGGCGGCGGCTGCGCACCAGGCGCTACTGCTGCTGCGGCTGCTACTGCGGCTGCTGCACCGATGGCAGCCCAGCCGGCAACGACGAACATGCCTCCCAGCGCCGAGGCGATGGCGGCAGTCAGCAGCTTGAAGGCCTTGCTGCTGGGGGAATTGAATGCCGCAGTGCTGGGTCCAGCCGCCGCACCCGCCGCACCCACACAGACTCACGGGTCACAGCAGCAGCAGCAGCAGCTGCAGCTGCCTACGGCACCTGGGATAGCTGCGCCCATTGCTCCGGCCGCCGCTCCTGCGGACGGTCCCGTGCCCATGGATGTGGACGAGACTCCTCCGGCCCCAGGGCCTGCTGCTGCAGTCGGCGGCGTGAGTGCGGCCGCAGGGACGCAGGGACAGCCTCCGCCTGCCCTCCAACTGGCGAGTGGCGCCGTCTCACTGGCAACCAGCAGCGCTAACACCAGCACTGGGGCTGGAGCCGAAAGAGGAGGGGGAGGAGTTGTGATAACCGGCACTGCAACAGGGGCAGCAGTACCGGGGCTCTCCGGGCCGCCAGCCCCGAGCAGCAGCACCGATGATCAAGGGCCGTCGCGACAGGTTGCGGCAGCTGCCGAGGTAACGGCGGCAGCTGCGCCCTCTGCCTCACCACCACATGCCACTTCCATGGGGCAAGGACCGGCTGCGGAAAGGAGCGCCGTTGCCTCCGCCGCCGCCGCCGCGGCGCCAGCACTGCCGCCGCCGCCACAGCAGCAGCAGCAGCAGCAGCGGCTGCCGGCGCGGCGGCCCCCGCTTCTGGAGATTCCAGGAACCCCGGTAGCTGCCGCCTCCCTCATACCCCCCCAGCCGCAACACCCTCCACAACCACAAGCTGTGGCTTTGCAGCCACAGCCGCAACCGCGAGTGATGCAGCAGCAGCAACAGCAGCAGCCGCCATTGCCGTTGCCGTTGCCGTTGCCTAGTCTTCCGAGGCGGCCGACGGGCCCGGTGGGGGCCTCGGCGGTGTTGGCGTGTGCGGGCAGCGCCAAGAGCTGGTCCTTTTCTGACCCCCATTTGACCAAGCACGGCGTCCGTATTGCCTTGGAGTCCCTCCGGGAGCTGGCGGCTCTGTGTCCCCCGGTGGCTAATATGGCCTCCAGTAACGTCGTGGATACGGTGAGGGGGAGGTGGCGGGTGTAGGGGGGAGGTGGCGGGTGTAGGGGAGAGGTGGCGGGTGTTGGGGGGGAGGGGTGGCGGGATGGAGGGGTGTGGGTGGAGGCTCTCTACCTTGAGGGGGTCGTAGAATGGAGATGGGGACGGTGGTCTAGGAGCGGATACGGGCGGGAGAGGAGGTTCCTACCTCACCCACATGTTCATTGAAACACATAGTATAATGTCTAAATAAGCGTGTATATGTATTATATATATGTCTTATGTAATTATGTATATGCTATAATGATATCTCTTAGGGTTAGAATAAGAAATAAATAATTCTATAATCTATAAATCAATAATTATCATATATACATATTCAGGTAGGGTTTTAGGGTTTACCTGCAGAGCTGGCCTTCACTCACCATCGTTTCTCTACCCGGCTGGCCTTGTTGGTTGGTGCAGGTCAGGAAGTTTGAGTCGCACCCGCACCCCTCGGTGTCCGGGCTGGCAAAGGACATACTCAATCGCTGGAGGGGCTCGTTTATCCACCGCCTTCGTTCCATGTCGGATTCGCGCTGCTACCAGGATCCGGTAGCGGCGCTAGAATCCAGGATCCAGGCCAATGAAATCATCTTCCCAAACCTGGACAAGCTCCTGGGTGCGCCGCGAGGATCAGCCGCTGCCGCCGTCGCCGCTGCAGGTACAGGCGCCGGCGCTGCCACTGCCACTGATGGGGCCGCAATGACGCCTGCCGTACTACAGGCGCCGGCAGGGCTGTGCACGACAGCATACGCCAGAGGCGGCGGCGGCGGCGGAAGCTTTGCAACCGGGCCCTGCGTGTCGTACTCGCTGGCGGCAACGCCGGTGGGTGATGGGTTTCACCAATTGGCGGGTTTTCCCTCAACACCGCCGCTAGCCGTCGCCTTTGACAACACACCGGTGTCAGCGGCGGCGGCAGTCGGTACGACCACCGCAAGTGCACCTGCCAGCGGCGGCGTCACACCCTCCGGCGACGCGGCCGCTACAAGGACGGCGGAGGTTTCGCCACCGCGAGGCCTCTTCGATGCCGCCGGGGGTTCCAACACCTCAGCTTCCACACCTCAGCTTTTCAGCCGTTACGGCGCCGCCGCCGGTATGCCGCCGCCAGGAGCGCAGCTAAGTCCTCCGGGTCTTGGGGTTCTCGAAATGCCCTCCGTAGCCCCTCAGCCTCTATTTTTTCCACCATCGCCACAGCTGCTACCGCAACACCAGCAGCCGCAACAGCCTTCGCCGGCGTTGGCGGTGCCACAGGCGCTGTCAACTGCGGCGGCGGCGATGGCGGCGTCAGCGTACCAGGTTCCAGCAGCATCTGAAGCTACACCGTCGCCGCTGCCGCCGCCGTCGATGCCCACGAGACCTCAACCTGCGACGCCAGGGCAAAGCGCAGCATCAATGCCATCTCCTCGACGACCCACGCCGCAACAGTTGACGCCTCATGTGCCCGCCGGTACGGCGGCGACGGAGGCGCAGCAGCAGCAGCAGCAGCAGCCGCCGCCGCTAGGGGTGATACCCTCAACTGCTGTGCCGCCGCGGGCAACCCCAACACGAGCGGTGCCTCGGTCGTCAGCACTTGCGACGGCAGCACCGCCACCACCAGCAAGGGGGACTCCATCTGTGCCGCCGCCGTCGCCGTCGGCATTGCGGGCTGCGCCAACCGCAGAGTCTGCACTGGCGGCAGCGGCGGCGCCACCGCCGCCGCTTTTATCCTTGCCGCCGCCTCCCCCGCCATTTCCCGCGTACGGCGCTGCTGCTGCCGCCGCATCCGGCAACCACGTTACTTCCACAATGCCAGTTTTCGCCGCCGCCTCCACAAATTTTGCATCCATGTCACCAGCTCTGCCGGAGGCCACGCCCGCTGACGTGGCGGCGCTGTTGGCAACCTCTGCCCAGAGCCTCGTGGAGCACATGCAAACCAGCGCCGCCGCTGCCGCCGCCGCCGCCAGCTGCGGTGCGCCGCCGCCGCCGCCGTCCATTTCTTCCGCCCAGCTTAACCAGTTGTTTACGTTGGCATCCACAGCTCAGGTTTACGCTGCTGCTCTGAAAACCGCTGACGCGGCCGGCGCGGCGTCGGCCTGGCAGAGCTTGGTACAGCAGCTACGTCAGGCGCAGGTCCTGAACCTGGGTGTTGCAGGGGCTGGGGCACTTGGCAGCGGTGCTTCACAGCGGCTGTCATCGCCATCGTCAATATCGTCGGCGACAGGTGTGAAGCCGGCAGCGCAGTTGCTGGCACGGCCAGCGGGCGGTAGAGTAGTCGGTTTGACAGCGCCGCCGCCGCCACCACAAGCCCAACCGCTTCAACCACCTACGCTTTCGCATCCGTCCACCTCTCCTGCTGAGGGAGCTGCTACGGCAACGGCATTGGCTGCGCCACTTGAGACAGAAGATAAGGCCCCCCATGCGATGCATACGTGCAGCAGCCATGCAGGGGAAGCCGCGCAGCCACCGGCCACTGCCGCGACAGTCGCCAACCGGGGAGTCGCTGCTGATGTTTCATCAGAGGGAGCAACTGCCGGTACGGCGGTGACGGCGCCACCACCGCCAGAGGGCAACACGGCGACGGCGGCAGGAGCCGCTGCTGCAACTTGAGAGGCCCCTTGCTCCTTACTAGGGGAGTTCTATAGCTCGCTCGCAAGTAACCAGTAGACCTCGTGATCCATTTCGCCGTTTCCCCTCGCTCCATCATGGTACGGCAGCTGACAGCGGCTCCCGTAAGCACGCAACCGCTGAACAGGACGGCAACACGCTACTGCACCGAGCAGTAGTGGATGAGCCGCCTGAGTAAATGACAGGCCAGTGCGGCTCAGTCCGCCAGTCCGCCAGCCAGCCAGCTAATCAACTCCTCTGTCGGCCCAGGGGTACTGCGGTGGTGGTGGTGTGGGTCGCTGCTGGAGTTTACGGTGTTGCCTGGGCGCCATGGAGGCATCAGCTCAGCATCCCCCATTCATTGGGACACTGGGGCATCGGGTTATCCGGTTCCGTGTCGCAGGTCTCCGGAGTGGAAGCGGGCTCCTTTGTGGCAATCGGTTCCGTCATGTCGATGTCGTTGTGTTGCAATAGTGTGCCGCAGGGTGCTGAGTCCGGACGGTTCCGAACTGGTGCGGTGGGCAGCAAGTAGCAAAGGGGCCTCTATCGGTATGACACCCCTAGGGTATCCCTTCCTCGTAAGCTTCGGTTTGGTTTTGCAGTCGCCGGATGGATATGTGTGCTGTGTGTGCTGTGGGGAGGGGTGTTGGAAAATGGTGTGGCCGCTGTGGTTTGCATCTTGCGTGGGAGTTGCGATCCATTTCCCCCGCTGTGCGCGATGTGGATGTCTTGTGGTGAACTGATTTGGGAGCTAGGAAGGGAAACGGTGGTTCGTCTTTCGCGTGCCTCGGGAGGTGGTGAGGCGGTGTGTGCGACGGGTTGGTCAACTCTTTGAGGCGTAGGTAAGGCCGAGAGAGGTGTTTAATAACGTTGAAAACACGGAGGGCGGGGATCACGATCGCGAGAGCTTGCGATAGAGGACGGCACGGTGCATATTCCTTTCCCTCACTCGCGCGTCTGGGAGGTAAAAGGAAGGGAGGGACGGAGAGAGGGACAGACAGTCAACCGCCAGATGGACGTTGACGGACGGTCAAGTGTCCATGAGACTCTTGGGACCATTGCTATCTGTGATGGAGCATTGTGGCGCGTAGGTGTCTGACTTAAGTACTACTTACACTATGCACTTACATAGCATGCAGCAATGCGTTGCATAATGGCTGCGTCCTAGGGCGCATCATATCAGACGGTTGCAGATTCCGCCCGTGTGCCATTTCTGAGAATCTGACGCTACTTGTGTTGCCCTGAAACAGAAGACATGCGGTCTTTCAAAAGGGGCTCGAGTTGTCGGCATCGCCTCGGGTGTCATGCTGTCTTTGTTGGGGTGGCCGCTGCCACCGCCATCGTTGGTGTGGTGCCACCCATCAGGTGCCGTTCTAGTTAGTTGGAGCAGCGCTAATGTATGTACCGTGAGGAGTGTTTTGAAGGCACTGAGTGAGAGCGTTGTATGGCGTTGGTGGAGACCTGGTGCCGTACCGTTGGTGGAACAGAACGTTTTCGAATTCCGCAGGGGCGCGTGACTTTGAGCAAAGAGACCGCGGATTCGGCTGACTGCTCTTATACGGCTGTTTTTCGTGGGATACACTATTTCTGTATACCGCAATGTTGGACTGGCTGGCGATGCACCGTGTGCTGTTGCGTGTCCGACGGTGGGCAGGCTGGGGGGGGGCTCAGGCGTGCGCGTGACTGTGGTACTGTACAGGAAAAGACGGGACACGTAGTCGAGGAATCCCGACGAAGCTGTACTGGCTTAATGGATATTCCGATCATTTCTATCGTGCCCCCGAGCCGGTTATTCATATCCCACGACCTGAGCATGTTAAGGAGCGGTCCTGCTGCTGTGAAATTATGCCAAGGAAGGTAGGGCCTTCCTTTTATCCCACCGACCAGGATCATGCCCCATTTGCAGGTCGAATGATCTTTCCTTTCCCTCTGTCTCTAGCTTCAGGCTACAGGTCGTATCAAGCAGCGGCATCAACCCCCAAACGATGCTGTTTAGATTACACGACCCAAGAGTATTGAGGAAATGTTGTGGATTCTCATCAGCTGCTTGCAAGTAGACTGTGTCCTATGGTTACGATGTAACAGTACAATCGCGTGCAAGCAAAGAACCCACACCATCCAATCTGGCAGCCCACGTTCAATCTATCCACCATGCCAGGAGAGCTCATGCTTTTAGCAGGTGGACGTAGGCAAGTCGTGCTCCCATCAGATTGTGCTTTCTTCCCGCCTACGCCTCGCTGTAAGACACCCTCAAGAGCAGCTGAGGTTCACCATTTCGAAGCCAATTACGACTTCACAAGGCTGTTTAATAATCGCAGCAGGTTGTGTGAAACAGCCGATTACAAAACAGCCGACTAATCTCGATTTGCCAGCTCGGCATTGCGCAACCTCGAAAAACTCTTATGTAACCAGGCCAGATGCGGTCAGCGCCCGTCTGTCCGTGGTGACCAGGGCCCATTTGTCTTGGCCCTCAACACGAGGTCTGTCTCAGACCCTGAGCACGGACAGAGCCCCTGCAGCACGAACTACACACCACCCTGTTCCCATTACTTCACACGGTAACTAAGCTACAAAGGCGACCAGGAAAGTAATTTTGCAGACTGCAAGTGCAAAAGCACCCGAGTGGTGAAGAGCCATTCTACTTACCCGCGTTGTTTCCGGGACGACTACCGGCCACAAGACACAGACCCTTCTTTGTATCTTACACAGAGCTACATAGCACACAAGACCTGACTACCAAAAAGGGGACATCCCCTCCCCACCAAACGCCGATGCCAAGCGGGCTGCCGTACACACACATATAAAGTGCGCATTAAGGGAAATCACATGCAGAAAACATATCGTACACTAGTAGTACATCTGTACGGTGTAAGTATTGACACTTTGGTAAACCTGTTTTTCCAAAGACAGTCCCATACAGCGAAAGCATATTGCGACTAATATAGTACACATCCTTGCTCTCCAAGCACTGCAGCTGGTAACACACTTTTGATGTCGCGGAGCGGCGGCTCAATCCAAACTTAGCAAGAAGGTTCGTCTTGTCGTACATCTAAAATCCCCTCGGGTCGGGTCAAAGCCTTTTCAGGCACGATCGCAAGATATTGTTTCGCCTCGGGCGGCTATACCTTTTACTCTCGCTTGGTGCCCCGCTTGCGGGTGCAATTCCTTAGGGCAAGCAAACTTAATCGCATTCAAGTCAAATGTCCACGTTGCAGGTCGCACCCCAAGTGCTTGTGTGTGTGTGTATGTGTGTGTATGTTTGTGTATGTGTGTGACTAGCATGCTTCAATCAGTATGCATAGGTTTACCTGTTGTCCCTAAACCCGACCCTTGCCGGGTACTCGCTCCCATTGTGCCCCGATTCAACAAAAATGCACGAGGAGGGGAATCAGTAGCTGCTGTATCACTCTCAGCGGCCCAAACAAAACCTTCCTACGAGTACGTGTCCCGTGAAGCCCCCCTCATAACCCGCCAAACCTCGACCGCATACCATGCGCATGTACGATATGACTCATGCACGATTGACGCTCGCTCGCATTGTGGTTTCACGTGCCCGCACATAAGACATACAGGCCGCAATCTCCCATCTTACGCTTACGCGCCTCACAATTCAGAGAAGATGAAATTGCTGACGAGATTCGATGAGCACCAATCCGCTGCGTAAAGAGCTCGCTGCGAAAGGCGAAGTCGACATAACCAAAAGAAAAAATAGATTTGATTCCGTTCAGCACTTTGGAGCGCGACACATTCGACCCTAGGAACAACCAGGCGAAACGCAAACAGCCTGTGTGTGGAGCTTCCTGACGTGCCGCGTTCTCAGGCTGCCTTACTGAATTTTTGGAGCTGTGTTGCACCGTCGCCCACAGCCACTTCCGTAAAACCTTGCGTATGCGCGCCAGCGCCGTCCTCCAAAATCCTCTACCAGCCGTGATGATGCGCGGGACCCTGGAAATGCAGCGCAAAGCCAAAAAGACAATACACAGAATAACAAAAGATACCACATATATGATTACATTCACGGCAATAGTAAATTCACGCAAACCACCATAGAAAGCCAGAGGACGAAGGTAAGGAGGACAGAAGGTACCTAAGGGCACGATGAGGTGTGCGGCAAGCAAAACCTACAGGATGGGGACGTGCGAGCGCATGCAAACGGAAAAACGGAGTTGTCAACCCGATAGAGGACGGTGAGGTGATAGTTGCAGCTTTGTGGCTTAAATGTTTTCAGGGGAGAACAGTGACCCTTCCTCCGTAAACGAGGGGAGACGAAAACACGGCGGCCTACCAGTAGCGGCTCCGGCTGGTTCCTCACGTCGATGCCACCATGTGCGCCGTTCCCGCCGACCGGCCTCGCCTCAGCAAATGGCACAGGCGCCGCGGCTTCGCCGCCGCCGCCACCAAACGGCATCGCATGAGCCGGGCCGTTGGCACCAGCCATAAAAAAATGAGGCTGCGGCTGCCATCCCATATTCGGATGGGCCACGAAGGGCTGCGGCTGCAGTGGCGCCGCCTGTACGTGCTGGTTGAGCACCTGCGGGGCAGGCGGCAGCGGCGGTGGTGCAGCCGCCGCCGCAGCAGCTCCCGCATGCTGCAGGGCAACGGCCGCAGGTCCCGCGGCTGCGACTACGACAGGTACGATGCGCGGGCCACCGCCGCCACCGACAGCACCGCCGCCAACCACGCCCAGCGCTTCGCTGCGTACGGCGCAATGCCGTATTCCGCTGGCAGCAGATTTGGCGCAGTCGGTCGTCATGCCGGCGGCCGCAGTCGTTGCATCAGAGGGCGTGGGAATGGCTTGCAGTACCAGTCGTACAAACAGTTCCGCTGTCAGGACGCGCGCCACACGTGCCATAAGTTCGTTGTTCTCAGGATCCTGTCGACACGTACAGAACGGAACAGAACCGAACGGAGGTAAGCTATGAAGGCGCATGCCAGTAAGAGACGTCAAGCCAGCACAAAGTCACCAAGGCGGGGCCACAAAGATCATTGAGCCAAGACAGGCTTTTCATCAATAAAGGCAAGCGTAAAACCTTCGCTCGCTAGCTCCCTACGGGTTACAAAGGGGTAACAAGGTCCGCATAAATTGCGTGTGTGACGGCGTCCATAAAAGCCTGAAGGGAACGGTCAGCTGCAGATCAACGCAATAACCCACTTTTTTGAAAGAAAGGCTTTTTGACCCGACCACTTGAGACTACCCGGCTATACGAAGGGGGGAAGAGGAAATACTAGCATGTACACTGTCGTGCTGTGGGATTGAGCCACAGCAAGAGCAGTCATTCACGTGGCCGGCTCGCCTGTCTACATGTCAGACGTCGGACGGGGCCAGGCAGGCCGTTACGATGTGCCTGGTCATGTACGTCGGACCAGATGATGCAACAACACCTTCCACACGACGACTGTCAAACGCACCCCTCCACTGCTGCTCAGTAAGCAGCTCACCTGAAGTCTCCAGTCGAAGAACCGTCGGCCCAAGAGCGCCGCCGTACTCTCCGTCAGCTCCTCGAGGTCCAACCGTACAGCCAGCTCCAGGCACCGCACCACCCAATCCAAGGCTCCAGTAGACGGGCTCCCCGGCCGAGGTGGCGGGAGCTGCAGGTAGTCAGCTGCTGCTGCCGCACTTGCACAGGGCTGCGTGGCTAGTCGAGGGATGACATGCTCAACCGCAAAGGCGGCACACCGGTCGATAATTTGCGGACAATGGTACTTATCAGCGAGGCCCAACAGCGGCAGGAAGCTGCGACGGAGTTTGGGAAGCGCGTTATCGAAAGGTCATTATGAGGCTGATCACGGAAAGTAGCTGGATTGAGAGTGAGGGAAAGATGTCAGGGCCATTAAAACACAAGAAGTCTGTTGCTGGGATGCATGTAAGGCATCTAAGGACATGGGCAAAGTAGGGCACCGGTGGTGCATGTTTGGTTGCTGTCGAGGCGCATGCAACACGCCATTGTGTTGCGCGCGTTGCGGGTGAGAGTGACAGGTTAGGTGTAATGTGGTCTCTGCAGGATGATGGAAGCATGAGAGCTGCTGAGAACTTTAAGCGTCCCTTTAGTCTGTCCGGTTCAAAAGCGTGCCGGAAACCCCGTAAACAAACAGGTTCTAACCAGAGCATGGTACCCGACACCGCACACCTGGCGGCATCCAAAGTGGAACCTTGCTTGCGGTCCTTAGGGTACGGCGTTGGGTAAAGACAGGACAGCAGCAGCATTAGGTCCGCAGCCGTGTCCGTCAGGGCAAGGGTGACGAAAGGGCTCCCTGAGGATGAACCCATCGCATCCTGGCATCCGGAAGAGGCGCCCAAAGCACCAGCGCCACGACCAACAAGCACGCGCAAGTGGGAATTTCAAGCAGCCATACAAAACAAATTACTGGCAAGCGAAACAAGGCTGTTCAGATACGCCACAGCTCAACGACTTTGGTTGTAAAGTGCACCGTAATGACTACAATAGTTGCTTCGGGAGTTGCGGCTCATAGGCTCGAATGATAGTGGCGGCAACAGTACCTATTATGCAAAAGGCTATCTTTAGACGCAAGACCTACCATTTCCTCTTCGTGCGCGGCGATCAGGTCAAGGAAGAGGCGGCTCCACATTTCCAGCACAACCCGATGCAGCCATAGCTCCTGCCCATCGCTCGTCAGTACGCGAACATCCGCCCTAGCGCCCAGTGGTCCATCACGTGAAAAAAACTCGTCAGGCCGCCGCACTCCGCAAGCTCGCCCAGCCTGTTGCGTTGCAGGTGAGACACCAAGGACCCTAACAGGGGCTGCCATTCTACTTTACCAATTAATGGTCTGCCTTGTGATGTAAAACCTTTTCGAGTAAAGGGTAAAGTCAACGTTGGCAACTGTCGTGGCAGTGCAGGGAATCAATTTCAATACTGTAGCAAGTACTGTAGGTAAGTACAGAATAGAAGATTTTTCGAACTCATGGCAGCATTGTATGAAAGGCTTCTCGGCACCTTAGGGTTTTCAAACCTACCGCCCGTCCAAAGCACGGCGTTTTAAGTTTGGACTTATTTAGACCAAGCCACTTTTCAGGTGTGGCCTTTCCAAAAAATATGACTCGTGAACTGCAGCCAAAAAAATATTCCTGCAACGAAATGGGGGTTGCGCGCCGCGATCTTAGGCCGTTGACCACTGTTTCACGCCTTCCCTCGCCCTTCCAATTTAGACTCGACCTCTATCCTAACATACATATCCCGTCTCACTATCACATCTCCGCAACACCAGGCCCTGATTAAGCCTTGATGCTTGCATGCCCCACTGCACCAAAAGTTGTCGTTGTCGGCCCCCGCCATCTCACCCGCCCTCTCCCTCCGCTACTACATCTCTCCCCCTTGAATCACATCCACGTTTCCATCAATCCAGGCCTGAAGAAACCCAACCCCCAAAATAATTTCCCGCACGCACGCAGGTCTCACTGTATCGTCCTCACCTCTCCAGTAATCTCGTGACAGGTCCCACGCACCTTCCCATGGACGCAGCACCCCAACCTTCCCCCAACCCATCAGCCTCAACCGCTGCCACCGCCACCACAACAGCAGCTAGGCCCGCAGCCGCGACTCGCAGACAGCCCCTCTCCAGGGATAGCTCCCTCATGCCACGTTACCTAGAGCTCATTCGCTCCGGAACCAAAACCGTAGAAGGTCGCATTCGTGCCGGAAAGTGGGCTGACGTCATCCCAGGGGACATCTTCCGCTTCTTCAGCACGCAGGCTCCACCGTCTTCTACACTACCCGCCAACACAAACACAAATAGTGTATCCGTACGGTGCCGTGCTATTACTGTACGGCAGTACGACAGCTTCCAGGCCATGCTTGAGGGCGAGGGCCTAGCGGCGTGTCTGCCTGGCGTGCAGAGTCTGGAGGAAGGAGTGGAAGTGTACCGATCGATTCCTGGTTATCGGGAGCGCGAGGCGGTGGAGGGGGTGGTAGCGGTGGGGCTTGAGCTACTGCTGACTGACGACTGCTGACTGACGACATAAAAGAAGCTGTAGCAGAGGCAGATGTGGCCACGGCAGCGGCGCCAACAGCGCTCCGCACTTATTAGGGACGACGGACATTGGTTCGGGGACCGGCCGCAAGGAACATGGAGGAGCAATGGCTTAGACGAGGACAACAAGGGAGTCAAGTAGGAGATTGTGGATATAGCTGTTGTGGCGTCCCATGGCGCATAAGTTCCCAAGGGATGTGTCCACGTTAGTAATACGGACTGGGAGGGGGAGGACGCGGAGGGAGAGGTGGAATTGGGTGGTATGGCACCGGCGTGAGCCATACACACTTAAGGGCCGGTAGAGCTGCGTGATTAGAGTGTGCAAGCAAAAGCTTCTTCCCGGTAAGATCCAGACCGGGGTTAGATGAGTACCCCCTGACGGTAGGTCATTTTTCTGATCATGTCGAGCTAGGGAGGGACTGTAGCCTTGCAGGAACACTCCAGAGGAGGACAACGAACGAGCTCCTCGTTGAGTACTGTCGTTTCATTGTATGTTGTCGTGAAGCTGCACCGGTAAACAAGAAGGTGCGTTTGGGGGTAGGGGAAGGGGCGGATAAGGGTGGGGTGTTCTTTTTTCGAACTCCTCGGCCCCCCGGCCATAACTCTCCCAATACACTTCCTGTGTCTGTCCCGCGATTAACAATGACGCCCCAAGGGCTCATTCGTCTTCATTCTTTCGTCAAGGCGCCCGCTCTCTCCTCCGTCAAACCTGTTTCCTACTCTCAAAATAAAATGAACCCAATTGCCATGGTTACTGGTTAATTTAACGATTTTGATTTGTCCGTCACCTCCATCGTGTGGCCATACACCCCCTGCCAGGGAAGCGCTGTCAGCTCTGCCACCTGCGGCCCTGCCCGCGAGGATTCAATTTACCCAGGGCCTAGATATACCGCTACTGTCAGCTCTACCCTCCGTTCCCAACTCCTGTCGTTCTGGGTACTTGTAAACCCATACGGAGTTAAACAACACTTCCCAAACTCATTCCAAAAAGGAGGCTTCGGAGATTTAAGTTTAAATTTGAGTTTGAATGGCAGATGAGCGGCAAAAATTGGAAACCCAGTTGAGCATGATTCGAATGTCACAAGACGGTGTGAATATTCATATCCAATAAATTATGAATCTTCGTGCTGCCAGTTAAGCCTTTAATCGGTCTTCGCGAATATTAAAACACCACTGAGGTTCTTCGCAAGTCAGTTGCCAGCGAGGTTGCTATCTTCCAGGTCCGCGGCGTGGCGCTTTAAATCCTCCAGCGTGACGTACTCGAGGGCCTGACGTCATGTACGACAAGAAAAGGTACGACGGGTCGAAATGACAGGACTGTCCACGGCAGCGGCATCACTCCGAGCAACACATAAGCAAAACTCAACAGCCTAACAATTCCTAGAACACGGCCGCTAGGGGCGGGGAACAAACCAAACAACTCAGGGATTTATGGTTTTATTGAACCATCCTTCCCCAGCTGCACGAGTGCCGCCTCCGCACTTTCTTACTCATCCAGGGCTCCATAGTCCTCGTGGTTACCTCCATTAATGGTCAATCCTTACCAAGGTTCTCCATGCTTTGGTTCTCACTCATCGTCGTATATGGTACGGCACTGGGTTTTGGAGCCACAATACATGGAAACACAAGTACGGAATCCTAACACGATTCCCAGAACTGAATGCGATACTCTCCTCCCCATACACGTCCCAGCGGAGCCCAACACGCAGATCCAGATCCACAAACCTCATACCCTTTTTTGAGGTACACTAGTTTACCGTACACTCGTGTGTGCCGTACCTTGATGTTGGTGCATCGAAGGAACACGGAAGGAGCCTTCCCCACCTCAAGCGCCTCCCGCCACCTGCGCGGTCGCAGTGTGAAATCCCCGGCGCCGGAGAATCGATTTTCTCCCAACGGAAACCAGATAAAGAAACAGACAAACGGTCATACAAACAGACAAACGCATGAACGCACGTGCGGCCCAAACACAACCGACCGGGCGCGGACCCGCAGGGCAGGTGAGGGCATGGATGTAGATGCCGGGTTGTGGTGAGCTCTGGACCAAGCTTCATGAGCTCAACTGCACACAGACACACCGCTGCCCTTTGCAGATTCAGCTACCTTATCATCAAAACTTCCCCAACCACCAACTGCATGTAGTTCAAACCACCTTCCACTCCCACAACCACCCAACTCGTAACTGCCAGTTGACTCCCTACCACACCAACAGCCTCGTTACTTGTCGTACCGTATGGCACAGAGGCACCACTTGTCCCCGGCTTTAAGCCCTGGGAAATTGTACCACGGTGCCGGAGTCATAAGGTCGTTTCCTCGAGATCGCGTGAATTCCAGAAATTCCTGCGTCACCTGTTCAATGCATTTTCAGGTCCAATGCGCGTGCGTGGGTGGTGAAAACAGGCAAGGATGTTGATGCAACATGGGTTGCACTTGTGGTACGGCGGTGCTTGGTAATATCTGACGTTGATGGTGGGTCCAACCGATGCATGTGAATAAACTAAAGATCACCGGAGATGCTTCGTGTGAAGGTCTACAGGAAGATGTGAATCAGGAAGATCTTGAACACGCAATTTATACTCGCAGATGCCGCACGTGTCTCGACTCGCCCCCTCAATACCGCGTGCTTCGGGATGAGATGGCCTCGCGAGTTTTTTAATGCAGAACGCGCTAACCAACCAACGGAAGGCCGTTGCCCTGGAAATCCAGACCCAATTACACGGAAAGGCGTACGGTAAACCTCCGAAAATGTCGTAGCCCGTCTTTGCAAAAAGGGATGTTCCCAGTGTAGGAAATACTTTTTTATTTTTACCTGTGCGCAGATGACGTGGCGACCAACGTCACTTTCATCTGTACGGCAAAACCCGTCCCTGTAATAGCCAGTGCGGGGTGAAGTACAGCAGCACTGTAGCGGGCCCCCCAGGACGTTGCGCGGACCATCGACGGTTGCCTGCATGTACGGATTATGTACGGAAATGCATACAAACTGTAGCCGGATTGAACAAGCAAGATGATGCGTAATGATTCTGGCATGAGCATGAGCATGAGGAGAAGCAAGCAGTTTCCATCCATATCGTGGACTTGCAAACGTTGTTTAAAACAAGCGAAGGTTGACTATACCCCAAACGGACGAGGCATGGTTCAATCATAGCGAACAGCTTGAACAAAAAGGAGCGGGAGCTGGGTCGCCCAGGGTTTCTTTTGCGTGGCTATTCGCAGAGTGTGGCTTTAGGTAGAGATCGATGGCAGCAGTTAGAAAGGAAAGCGAGACACGATGCGCGATGTGCGCGCGCAACAAATGACATGGTCTTGTTGAAAGTGCCTTGGAGGTCCTATGACGTCGACAGACTTTGGGGAACGCACTCTGGAGCTGGCGAGTGTCAATAGCTACGGCAAAGATGCAACTAGACCCACCGCATGTCCGTTTCCATTGGTATTGGATTGCTCCACCATTGAAGCACGTGTTAATACAAAGCGCCTTCCTGGCCTGATGCAAGAGCTCCTACGCAGACGGCCAGTTGGAGAACTTCGGCGTGGGGCAGGAGGCGAAGACCACGCCGACACTCTCAAGGCTGGCTAAACTTAAATTGTATGGTTCGATAAAAATTGCGGCTCTTGACCCAACGGCGCCATATGGCCCTGCAGCATCGTCTCACCTATGCACAGCACTTATACTCCGAAGGGCCATGTAATCACACGCCAGGTGCACGCTCCGTGATTTGGAATAGAGCTGTTTCTTCCGCCCAAGGTTCAGCCAGGTTTTCAACCGGGAAAACGGTCGTACGACACCATCAATTGTCAACATATCATAAGTGGCCGTCTTGTTTGATTACAAAAGTTTTAGCTCCAGCGTAGTTTCACTGTGCACAAACTTACAGGGACTGTCCAACTTTCCTCGTTTGCATAGGTTTGAGACACGTTAGCGGACTGGCCGACAGGCTTGAAATGAAAATGCATAGGGTATGATATCACCAATCTAATGTACCACGTTGTATGCTATGGAACGAACGCGGTTAATATATGAATCCGTTAGGGCTTTGACGCGACGTCCGACACCTTTACAACCACCACGTCTTTTGCAGCATGTATGGCTATCGTTCGAATTTTTACGATGATACCGTGGGTGACTCTTATCTTTCACATTAATGCTAAAACCTGCAGAACTGTGCGCGGAGGCTGCTCACTCCGAAAGCTACCGTCGGCCGTCATCGTCTGGAGGTGCGGCTTAGCCCCGGCCTCAGCTGACCGGAGCAGTCTGTGGCTCTTCGTGTCGTGAGGAACAGGCGAAAGGCACCCCCACGAAATACGACCCCCTTACCTCCCGCGCTGACATCACAACAAACCGCGGGTCAACATGCCAGCACAACAAACCGGGGCCCCTCCAGCTGCATCCCTTGCGCCAGGCCCTCAGCAACACCAGAGGCCCACTCCGAGCTACGCGGATGTAGTCAGTGGAACACGGCACGCGACACCGCAGCTCCCGGCACCTGCATGGCCAGCTGCGGCCCCGAGAGCTACCTTCCCACCGCTACTCCGAGCTCCACAGGCGCCGCAGCAACTCATCCAAACAGCACCGTGTCTCCCCCCCACGCGAACCGGTCCCGCGAGCTCGGAATGGCCAGGTCCTCAGCCGCTACCGCCACCACCGCTGCCGCTGCAACCTTCCTGCTCGTACACAACCTCCGTCATGCCAGCATCGCAGCCATGGTTGCAGTTGCCGGGTCCCCCGGGGTCAACGAGCGCCGCCACTTCCTGCGTGCCCAGTTCCTCCCGTGTTTCAGAGGTCCCTCGATGCACATCGGCATTTCACGACTTCAATAATAATTGTAGTAATTCGACGCCCTACCATCAGCAGCACCAGCACGGGCAGCACCAGCTGCAAGGCGACCTCGGAACTCCCTTTCTTAACGGGTTGTTATTAGCGTCCCCCGGCCCAGAGACACGGTACGGCGACGCGGCGCACATACCTCCGTGTCCTCCGCTATTCTTCGATCCACAATTGCCGTATTCCAACCCGTGTCATCCCTATCACCACATGCACCCAAGTAGAGTCCCGGGCATGGCCATGAGTCCGCCGCCGCCGCAGCAGCAGCAGCAGCAGGCATTTCTTCGTACATCACCCCCTGTGGCGCTTCACCCCGTGTCAAACTTCCCCTGGCCCTCGCCGGTTCTCGAAGTCTGGTCGCAACCACAGCAGCAGCCACAACCAGTCTGGCATGCGCCGTACATGCCCGTACTGCAGCCCGTACACTGGCCGCCGCCGCCTGGCGTGGATCAGCAGGTGCAGCAGCAACAGCCGAAGCCGAATGTCCCCCTATGCTCCGCCAGCGCTGAGGATGCGAGTCGAGGAAAGAAGTCGGGACTTTCGCCCGAGGCTTCCAAGCCGCTTCCATCGCAAGTGCTTCCTAGTTCTGGAGCCAGTGACGTAACCAAAGAGGCGTCTGTCGTGCAAGCGGCCCCAGCCGGCTCGGCGTCAGCGAAGGCGATGGCGGCGGCGGCGGCCGAACCTGTCAGCGACTCGCCAAGGGCTGAGTCGTCTGAGGCGGGTGTGATAACGCCTGGCAGAGCCGCCAGCCCGGCCATGGCGGCGGCGTCTGTGGTTGCCGTATCGTGTACGGCACCGCCGGCGGTTTGTGAGTGGGTGCTGGCAGGCGGGCTCGACAAGTTGCAGGTGTGGGGGCCTGGGTTATGCGACTGCGCTTTGTTTATGTTTAGTGTACAACTCCGATACTTTGTACGGGATAAAGAGAGGTGTACGGCACATGCAGGTGTCGCCGTGATTTATGTCAGTATTCACTTACCGGTACATTTACAGCTGCTCTCAAATCATATCGAGCTGCACTTGCGCATCTTCTTGCCATCCCCCTAGAATGAACAGCGCAAGAAAAAAAGCAGGAAAGAGCTGTATATGGTACATTTGCCAGATTGCGACACGCAAGACGGCGGTGTTGGTTTAGATGTTACATGTACGACATATACGGGTGTGGGTGGGCAACTGCGGATACCCCCCCGATGTGTTTCACCCGGGTGGCATATCGACGACGTAATCTCGACCACTGCACGTCCTGTAAAACAAGTTGTCGCTAAGTTTTACTTGCAGGGCATTGTAATTTTTAATTCCGCATCCATCCCCACAGCCATCCCCACATCCGCAACCAAACCAACAGTGTGTGTGTGTGTTCCCGGCGGGGGTTGGGGAAATGTCGGTGGGGACAACCTGTGCCCCCACACATATTTCCGCCTTATTCCGGAACGTGGCTCCGAATATATATGTGTCTTCCTTACCCTTCCCACCGGGGTGCTGCTGCCGCCCTGCCGCCCAGTTATCTTCGCCTACAATCCTTATATGAACCCCCCCTCGAGTCCCGTGTTTCTTACGTTCAAGACCTGACAGCTGGCACATCCTTCCAGCATCGATAGTAGAAGATGTTAAAAAACTTCTTAATAAATAGAGGAAAGTGGGAAACCATGTCTTTAAGAGCCCTCGAGCTTCCCCAGCGGCAGTCGTCACCATTTGTAAAATGCATCCCGTATGTAAATGTATGAAATACAATGATGTTCATTAGTTGTGTTTAGTCTTGGCCCCAAACAAACAAAAAGAAGTCTGCACGGCCACCACGTCCCGTTGGCGCAGGTCTCCGCTCTGGAGACTCCGGCCGGCATTCCTCATGAGCGGTACGGCATCGCCGTTTCTGAAGATGTCAGTTTCGGCGTCCAAACCATCCGCGAGGTGGAACAAGATCAACAACCGCAACCACAACCACAACCGCAACCACAACCGCAACCACAACCGGAAGGAGTGCTACAGCAATCCGAATCTGGCCCGGAGCGGCCTTCTGCTGTACCCTTGCCAAAGCTGGACGGTGCCAGCAGTAGCAGTACCAGCAACAGCAACAACAGCAGCACGAGCAGCGGGGATGTGGGTGACGCGTCTCAGTCAACCTTCACGGGTGTTGCGAAAGCGCCGTCTGGGGCAGCTTCAGGAACAGCAGTCGCAGCCGCGGCGGCTGTGACAGGTCCACAACGTGACGGCCTGATGACGGAGACAGCCGCAACCACCGCCCCGAGCGCAGTGGTGAAGGGATCTTTTCGCGTTATAAACCGGAGAGCCGCTGCCGTGTTGCTGGTCAACGCGCGAGCCGCACCTCAATACAGCCATTGCCTCCGGTACGTTCGTACCAGCTCACAGGCACTCCTTTCCGTTTAGTTATAACGTGGTATAAAGTAAAAAGTGACTATCCTTATACATTTTGTCATGATTGGAAATAATAAATATCGCGCATTTGATTGATGCGATTTCATCAAGACGATTTGAACAACGGGATGTCATCAAGATCTCCACTGCGATTTTGCAGATGTCCCCAGTGGGGTGGGGTGGGTGTTTTCCCCGGGGGTGCATTTTATTAGCGAATTCTTTGGGCATTCGTGGTCAAGGTCACTACGCGCTTCTGGAAAGTCTACTTGGGTTGGAAGCAGGAGAAACAGAGCTAGGGAGTCTATAGATAATGAGGTTTGCTGCCCGAAGGCAGCGGTTGAGAAAGTCATTGACACGGCCGCGGAAGCCATCTGAAGCGCTCGGCCATAAAAGTATTACGCGGGTGAGGCGGTGCACGAGACTCCTTGGCACATACTGGGGAACTTCAGCAAAGTTAAGCATACAGTATATTGCAAAAGAAAAGGATCAGAATTAGAACCAAATTGGGTCAACCATAATGTTTTGACAAATAAAAATTGGGTAAAGAGTAAGCGTATGGGCTCAGTAGGCGGCTCAGGCAGCAACTTTTTGACCTAGTATATTTCCATGGGGTTTGGGGTTGAGAGATGAGGAATACGACATTGAAAATGTCATGCTGCTTTTCTATTTTGTAAAACGTCAACCGCAGGCTCCAGGATCCTGTCGGCATCACGGTGCAGGATCCGGCTCGGGTCATGAGGCGTAAGAAAACCCTCTCTCTGGGCAGCCTTCCTGCGTATGTTGGCAACACACCGGCAGTGTTGCTGCCTCCCGGGGCCGAGTATGTAGTGGATGTGGTCCTTAACCTCAGCAAGGTACGCAGAGACAACGACGTAAATTCCATTGCTAGCATTTTAGTCACGCTAATGTAGACGTGGTCAAAAAGTACGCCATGCGACAATAAGTAATACAGCAAGCAATCTGCGGGGAGTTGCGGGAATTGAACCCACGACCTCTCGCACCCTAAGCGAGAATCATACCACTAGACCAAACTCCCTTTCATGCTCTATGTAGAATTATCCTTCAACATATCCTGGTTAGGCAGCGTACGAAATCGTCCTCGCGCGGTGCGGTGAAGCTTGTAGGCACAGCATATACGCGCCTGCGTTTGTCGTCGACGCGGGTACCCTCAGTACCTCAGATGGACAAGTGTCGAGATGCGAGATAGATAGTTTCAAAGTTCCTATATTTCCTTGATGATTTTTCTTGTGCTTCCTGAGCCTGGTGCACAGCAGAAACCGTTATTGCTTGCCGACAAACAACCAATTCCGCCCGGCCATCCCCCACGTCACATTCCCTCTGCAGGCCAATTTTAGGAGCCAACGCGCCGAACGGGGGTTGCTGGCTCAACTGGTACTCTTCACGTTTGTATTCCATTGGAGTGTAGATGGCAGCGATGGAGTTGTTCTCCAGCCACACGGCATCGCAAAACTTCCAGCAGATGGCGTTCCAACATCTGTTGTGCCAGGCGGCATTGAGCAGAACCTGTCAGATGCACCATGTTTGCCTACTTGCTTGAAGGTACATTCCAAGTTCTCCCATGCTGCCGTGATCGGAGCACGTGTGGCGGTCGCAATCGTGGACCGAAGGCGGCTCTTGGAGGTTAAAAGCATGCTGAATGTGATGGCGCCGCCCTTCATTCCAAAAGAGCTAAGGTGCGATATGCCGTTTTGCGCAAAAGAAAGGCAGTGTTGGCGCCTGTGTTACTCAAACAACCTTCCGTTACAACATTAGATGATCTTAGTGCGTCCGGGAAACCTCCGCACAAAGGCTTGCCCTTGGTCTATATTCGCTGTCAGCTTTGTGCTGTGCACTTTCCATGGTCCGGGTGCAGTATTCCATCGCCCAGCTAGGTTGATATGGATAGGAACTTACATGGTAGATAGGGCCGTTAATTAATAGTAAATTATTAACAGGGTTGCGACCGGATTACTTTTGACCGTCCGGCGTAATACGACACCCAAAACGTTTACGCCCGGCGTATGGCGTATTGCACGGCACCAACTTTTTTACGCGGCGTATTTTCCTTTACAGTACTTCTAGCCTGGAACACTTGCATATAGCAGAAGATCAACACTGGATCGTTCGGCTGCTTAAATTTGTCGTGTGATAGCGACGGGCACTGCTCCAAGTGCAGGGCCAGTTTGTGCAACTTGGCGCGTCTGGCAGGGATTTCAGTGCCGCATGCCTTGCACTTCTTAGCGTGACGGCGATTAGTAGTGCAATATGGCCCTATGTTTTATTATGTTTTATTGAAGTTATCCCTATGTTTTATTATGTTTTATTGAAGTAATCCGGACCACGTTTGGTTCGGACCCATCATCCATCGTGCCGCCTGACACGAACACCGACTGTTTACCTGCGCCGGTCGATATCACTGCACTACTAAGACGACACCATTAGCAACGGGGAGAGCAGTGCGCGCTGTTTGGGGTAAGAACAAGCGGTTTCGGGCCTGTACGACCATACGGAAAAACTAATACACCGTTAGTTGTTGCTCCAAAAGTTAAATCATTTAACTTAAATGCCATTTTCTGTTACAGATAATGATACACAGGAAGGCCCGAAGAAGACGGGCCTAACCACAAGATAAGCTAACCAGCCAAACGCGCGCATAAATGACGGCCCTGAGGACACGAGCCGTTGCGAGACAGTTAGACTAACAGTCACGCATTGGGCCTTACGTCCAACTAACCCAGCTTACTTAACGCAAGCTCGCACTCAGACGTCGGCAACCGCAGTTTTGTGGTCTTGGGAACGTATAGGACGCCTGTTTTACTGCAACCCAAAATTTTTTTAACGGCACCGTCAGGCCGGTCAAACGGCCCTACGGGCCGCATATGAGGCCTTTCTGCCTTTGGATAACGTATGTGTATGTGCGATGTACCAGTTTTACTGCTGGCTGCGAGGTTTGGGAGCTTTTTACGGTCTTGGGAACATTGGTACGATCCGAGGGTGCGCCTAAGAGCTGCCGATGTCTGCTCGCACTAATACGCCGGCCGGAAAATCGACCACCTCGCCGGCATATCTTGGCGTGACTGTGCTTGGCGTATTACTCGGTAACACGGTCGCAACCCTGTTAATTGTGTTTAGTCGAGGAAGTAATTCTTGCGATGAGTAAGATATATGTTGTCCACATAGACATTTGTTGGCATAAACCTTAGGGTTTCCAACTTTTACCACTACTGTGTAGATGCAGAAGCAGAACATAGATACAAGTGAAATTGTAGTGCGTGAGGGTTGCTGCCAAACGCAAAGCTCGTCCTTGAGCCGTGTGACCCGGGAGCGTCACCATAAGATGTGCTCTTGGAGCAAAGTCCTTTCCTCTTTCTTGGGCGGACCGCCTTGTCACAATCACTGGAGTCCTTACGCGAGAGTAAATCGCCGGCGCTTGCTGCCGAGGGCGCGTGATCATACCGTAAATAATGCAAAACGAACTTGTATCCACTAAAGAAGCATATACGGTCCCTGACACAAGGTCATGATGGTCCAAACACCATAGACAGGTTTTTAGCGCTTTCGCTTTCCGCGCTATGAGAGCCTGTTAAAGAACACTGTGGCACTGTGTCCCTGCCAAAGACAATAATTGAGCCACACAAGGAAAACATTAATTTTATTAGCTTAATATAACAACGCAAAAGGCTATATGCATGTGACAGCTACGAAAAGGGTTTGCCCAGAGAGGAAAACATGCTGATGAGGGAAGGGTGTCGGAAAGAAACGGCGCACCGTGTGAATGCTCTGCCCGGGCACTCGGTAAGATAACACGCTTAACAAAGGGCCAAAAGCGCGGCGAGGTTTTACAAAGCCGCAACTGAACGCTGCTGCTGTTACCTCCATACACCAACAGCAGCAACCCGCATAGATACGCGCGCGCAACTGAGTACGTGCTTTGAACCCCGCCCTTGAGCTCCGACGTGTGCCGTACTCGCCCCCAACCCGAAACCCCCAAACTCATGCAGGCTCCTCTTCCACACTGCGCCTGCTCGAGTCTACGCCTGCCCTGTCTCCGTCCCAGACGCGCTCCTATCTCCCGAGAACGGTCCCCACTGCGTCTTCACATGTGCCGTACTCGCCGCCGCCCCTGCCGTACTGTCTCTCCGATTCATCATCACCGCCCTGTCAGAGCTGCTGCTGCCGGGGTCACCAGTGCCATCGTCGTACCGGTGCACATCCGCTGCCGCTGCCGCCGCGTCGGTGCTGTTGTCCGCAATGGACAGCATTTTGAGGCCTGCAGCGGCAGTAGCCGCCGCGGCGGGAGCGGGTAAGAAGGCCACCGTTGGCACTGCAGCTTCAGGGGTGGCGACGGCGGAGGCAAGCTCTGGGACTCCGGCTCTGGCGGCGGCGGCTACGATGGAGTGGGCTCAGAAGGAAGGTGTGGGCCGACCCGCGGTTCAGCAGCTCCACGGCCTCCATGATTACATGGCCGCCGCCGCCGCCGGCGCCTTTAGTGCCGTCACCGCAGGCGGCGGCAACGGTTTCTTGACCCATGGGTTCAATGGCATCCGGACGCCATACGGCGGCATCGATGGTGGCGGTGGTGGCGGTCAATGGGTAGCTCCGCGGCAGCGACTGGAGGCCGGCCAGACGGCTTGGGCCCGGCAGCTCGCGGCGGTGGTAAGCATGGTGCACATGGAAACAGTTGGGAGTTAGTGGTTAGGAAAAGGTTAACCGCATTTAACAGTTCGGAAATGTGTTGATGATTTCACCTTTTTAAGTTCTTGTTTCCAGTTCGGCGGTTCATGAGCCTTTTGGCTCGTCTGGACCGTACAAGCTTGAAGCTTGTAACAAAAAACGTCAAAAAAATGTCAAACCTTTTTTTTTATTCTGCAGAAAAGCGCAAACGAATATTATAATTTGTTGAGTTGCCGTCTTCTGTTCGTCTTATTGGATGATAGCTTTGGAGGGTATAATCCTCTAAGGGTGCATTTCCAGTGCGGATTAACGTCGCGGATTAACCCTCTGTCCTCCATCGATACTTGCTCAAACGGCTAAGTTGTTGGCAAACTTACCTCGCCTTTTCAACCTTTGGTTCCCTTATGGAACGAAACTATGTGGTAAGCTCGTACCAAGGACTTCCGTGCCCTAATCCCTGGCCTTAATCCGCACTGGAAATTGACCCTAAGCCTCGAGCCTCACAAGCCTCAAGTCCTAGGCCTAGGTCAAGCCCAGTTCTGACCCCGTCCTGGTCGCATGTACGGCCCATGAGGGGTGTAACCCTTGTGATTGGGAACACATGTTTCTGGCCGGTACGGCAGTTCGGCAACATTCTATAACATTTTTCCTCGACCTCCAGGAGGCCCCCTCCCTTCCTTCCTGTCTGGAACTCGTCCTAACTCCCATTTTTTTAACTCCTCTCCCGCCGCTCACACACCCTGCAGCTCCCGCCGGGATCTAAGGTCCTTCGTAAAGCACTTCGAATGCTTAAAGGAGTGTTCCAGGCGGCATCAGCGGCGGCATCCGCGGCGGCGACTCCGCATGAATCCGCCGCGGCTGTGATGGCGGCGCTCGTCCACCAACGGTCTGAACTGCTGCGGTACGGCAAGCTTTTGGTGGAGGAGGAGGACGTTATGGAGCGTGATATACGGTGGGTGATGGTTACCCCGTCGTGTCGTGTCGACCAACCGAAGCCATTTCTGATGGTCTATATTTGCAATTTTGTTTTGGATTGCTGATTGCGTGATGACCGCGTGCCGTGACGTGGCGAAGTAACCGCAGACCACATCGACCCGATACCCCGGATGGCGGCCACCATGTCATGTGTCACATGACGTTACACGTCGTTTTATCCACAACAAAACCCCCATACCACGTAACCGGCACGGCATCCCATGGTGGAGAGCAACACACATACACAGCGCTGTGACATGTGCTGGTACGTGCACATGCACATGCACATGTAGGAGGAAGTAAATAATCTGGAGGTTACTGTTTACAGCAGGCAAGGTGATGATGGTCTGCGCCATGCAGCCTGACCCTGCTGGCCTTTCGCTCATCTCATGTTCATCGCCGTACATGGCAAATACACATACGCACACACACACGCACGTGCGCAAGCGCACGCACACAGACATATACACACACATACACACACATGCACACACATACACACACATACACACACACACACACACACATGCGGCATGCGCGTGCTAATGCCACGTGACGTGTTGCCCTCCTGCCGGCCCGCCGGGGACGGGGGAACCCTGCCGGGGCTGTCTGACCCGCAGGGGCTTCAACCTCTACAGCGCCCGTGTGCGAGTGGCGCTGTTCAGTGACAACATGCTCACGTACAGGGTACTCAACTGGCCGCAATTTCCAACCGACAAACGGCAACAGCCGGACGACGACAGCGACGACGCCAGCAAGCAGCAGCAGCAGCAACAGCAGAACGCCGCAGTGGCGGCGGCAGCGGCTGCAGCTGCTATAGAGGTGCAGGAGGGTGCTGACGTGGCCCTGTCAGCGCCACGGCCGTACCGCGGCCCCAGGCTTAAGCGGCTGTGCACCGTTGATTTGGGGTTAGCGGCGACGGCGGCGGCGGCGGCGACGACGACGCAAGGGGTGGCTAAGGCTGGCGGCGGCGGCGCTAACGCCGCCAAGTCA